TATTGTGCACATTATTATTATTATTATTATTATTATTATTATTATTATTATTATTATTATTATTTCGGTGGGAGGAAACACTGGTGGCACTTTGCACAGGGATAGGAATCAGTTGCTGGTCCCGCCTAGACACGAACGTCGGAAAGACGCGACACAATGGAAGATCCGACTCCCCTGTGACCGCCAGCTGGGCTCAGCCCTAGGAAGGAGGCAATGGCAAACCACTTCTGAAAAAAACCTTGCCAGGAAAACTGCAAGGACTTGTTCAGGCAGTCTCCGAAGAATAGGACACAATTGAACGGATTAAAAAAAGCTTGTGGGCTTACCAAAACTGTGACTGAGACAACCTCGCAGTGTGGGAAAGAGGCGCGGACAGAAGTGTTAAATAAAATAATGGGTGGGCCATGTGTGGAATAAAATAAGTGTCAGATTCTGAGCGTGGAACCTAGATCCCTCACATGCGCAGTTCACAGTAGAGTTCGCGTTCCTATGAGAATCTAATGCTGCCGCTGATCTGACAGGAGGCAGAGCTCAGGCAGTAATGCGAGCAATGGGGAGCAGCTGTTTTCGCTCACTCACCTGCTGCTCACCTCCTGCTGTGCGGCCCGGTTCCTAACAGGCCACGAACCAGTACCGGTCCATGGTACCCCTAATCTAGTGGGACCTGGGAAGTGCACCTTCTCCATAGCTACTTCTGCCCTGTGGAATACCTTTCCTTCAGAGATCCAGCAGATCCCCTTCCTTAAGGCTTTGAAGAGTTTTCTCTTTTTACAAGTGTTGGGTTAGGCTGAGCCTGGAGGCCAGCAAGATGGAACATTGATGTGTGGGAAAGTATTGCCCCCGGTGCCTGGAGCTTTTTTTGTGTTTTTTTAAAAGTTTTTTTATTGTTTTGTGAGCCACCCAGGGTTTTGGTTCATAATATGGATGACTAAATAAATAAACTATTTGTAAAAATTTAGAAAAGAGAGAGAGCTTTTTCAGAGAGATGTAAATTGTCATTTTGGACAAAAATATTAAATAGATGTTTAAAATACTTTTTCCTTAGATATGTTTTTAGGTGTGCTGGTTAATTTTTGTAAGTCTTACCATTTTTGTAGGACTTGGTCTTTTTGAAAATGCTTCAGACCTTGGATGAGAAAAGCCTCTCTCTGCAGGTGTTTAAAACAGCTGGGTTTTTTTCCAGGCTTTCTTGTGAGCCTGACAATAAGTAGTGCTACTGCTAAAGTTCATTGTGATTGACGATTACGCACCATCATTGTCAACTCTTAGTGATAGATGTTCTGCAGGGTAGTCTGTGCCCAGCCTGGTCTTTCAGATGTCTCAATGGTGCAGCTACCACCACCGTAATGGAGTCCGTCCATCCTGCTACTGGTCCTCCCCTCCTTCTCTTTCCTTCCACTTTTCTTAGCATTAGAGGTTTCTCCAGAGAGCTGGGTCTTCACATAATGTGTCCAAAGTAGGATAATGTGAGCCTGCTTATTTATGCCTTGAGTGAGAACACTTTTTATTCAGCCTCTTCAAAATCCAACTTCCCTTCCATAGAGGATCACAGAAAACTATTGCCTGCACGATTCTGATCTTTATAGATATAGTCACATCCTGGCATCTGAAGATCTTTTCCAAGACCTTCATAGCCTTTTCTAGCTCTTTATGTAGGGCTTTAATCTGCCATGGATGATCCAAAATATTATTTTGCTAGCATGTAAAATTAAGGGTAGTGTACAATAACTGCACACTCTGTCAAGTCTCCTTTCTTTGTTATTGGTATGTAGATTGACCTCTTCCAGTCTGTTGGCCACTGTGTCATTCTCCGGATTTGCTGGCATAGCTTAGTTGGCATACCTTTACCAATTCTTCTTTTGTTGCTTGCCATATTTGTGTAGATATTCCATCAATTCCTGCAGCCTTCTGATTTGGTAATGACTGGAGTGCCAATCTTACTTTATCTTGTCATACTAGAGGTTCTTGTAAATAGGGAATATCTTGTAAGGTATCTTGGATATTGACTGTATCGAATTTCAGTATATTCCTTCGAACTTTGTTTGATCTTTGAATCAGTTACTATGTGTCCATTGGCATCCTGTAGTTTACTAATTCGATATTGGGGCCCTCTCCTCAATTCAAAGCTGCATTAAGAGAGCCAGCTTGGTGTAGTAGTTTAGGCATCAGATTAGATGATGAGTTCTGGTCCTGCTTTAGACACAAAAGCAAGCTGGGTGACCTTGGGCCAATCACTTTCAGCCCTAGGAAGAAGGCAGTGGCAAACTACTTGAAAAAAATGCTGCCAAGGAAACTGCAGGGACTAGTCCAGGCAGCTGCCAGGAGGCAACACTGTCTAGGAGGCACAAAACAAAACCCACACAAAAAAAGTTGCATTATGTTAATGAGTGGATTCTTTAAAGCAGCAACTTCTTTTTCATAACAAGAATACTGGAATAAGTAGTACTTCTTCCAAGTCATTTTCAAAGCATGTACAGCTGTACTTTTTTATTCCAGTTTTTGGTTTCTTTTTGTCTGTAATACAAATTTTTAAAATGGAATTTACTGTTAAAAGAATTTGAGCCCTAGGCTCTCAATGCCTACTAAATCTTTTCTATTCTGATTCTATTCTATTCATGTTATTCTAATGTGATCTCACTGATGCTACTGCAATAGTATGTAACCCTTTCTTTGTTGATGTCACTTTCAACACTGTGCATTGCATGCGCAGCTAAACATTTCCCTGGGGTGGAAGGGATGGTCAGTTCATGGACCTGACCTATAACCACTTTACCTTTTCTAGGGATCTGAAGCCAGAGAACATCTTGCTAAATGGAGAGATGCATATTCAGATTACAGACTTTGGAACAGCAAAAATATTGTCTGCAGATAGCAAACAAGGTGTGTATAATTCATCTTTCATTTCATGAATCACTAGCACTGCCTTGAGAAGTACCTTTACTTACCTCTTTATTTCTTCTTTTAGCACGGGCAAACTCCTTTGTAGGGACAGCACAGTATGTGTCTCCAGAGTTGTTAACAGAAAAATCTGCCTGCAAAAGGTGAGCTCTGTGTGTGTGTTGAAATAAATTTCATGAGTTTCTTTGAGCTGTATTAAGGAAATGACTTTGAACTCTTTCTACCTATCTTATTCTTCAAGCTTTTTTCAGTACTTTGCATTGTCTCTGTTGAAATTTTGATGAGTAGTGGTCCCACAGATGAAAAACAATCCTGAAATTGATTTATTGAGTTTTAAACTCATAAACATTATTTGTTCAATATAACATCCCAGCACAACTTTTGCTGTGCCCAAATATGAGACAATAATTATTTCATCTTTTTTCCTGCAGGATGGTAACATTTATTCATATTTATTGTGAGGAGTTCTTAAGGATAACATTGTTTTGTAGTGAGTCTCAATAAAAGATCAGTAATACTACATTTCAGAGCACAGCTAAGAGCCAATTGTTAAAACTAAATTAAACTAAGTTTCTTAAAATTTGCAGCTAAAACATATTTCATCTTCTTACTAGACCTCTTTTAAACAGAACTTGTTTGGAAAGAACTGGAAAGCTTTTTTTTCCCAGTCATTTTTTTCTACCTATATTATGTTGTCAGTTTGCTGTTGTTTTTAGTTTAAGTTTTAAATGGTAACCTTACAATGAAGTAAACTACTCTGAGAAAACTATGCTTTGAAAGAGTTCATATACATTTTTTTAATGAAATACATATTTAAAACCAATTCACATTGCAACGCTATAGCTGTTCCTTTCCTTGGAATCACCTCCAAGATTAAGCATTGGGAGCTTACTGAAACTCCTCTGTTGCTGCCTCCATTCTTCCTTTGGGGCTAGTATGGAAGGATGATGGGGGTCTGGTCCTTTATAGTCACTAGTTGTCAAAGCCACTTTGCCAGGAATGTCTCTGGCAGAAGTTGAAGCTCTGCGGAAATGTTTCCTACATCTGATTATTTTTGCTCTTGAAAGCAGACATGATGATAAGCGGCTTACACAATATTAATTCCTGTGCTTTGTTTCTTCCCTTTGCCCATCTTGCTGGTGAAGTTCTGATCTGTGGGCTCTTGGCTGCATCATATACCAGCTTGTGGCAGGGTTACCACCATTCCGAGCTGGGTAAGGCAATGTCCTGAATTGTACCAAGTTCCCAGTTTTTAGAAGGGGTTTCCCAAGTATCCTTTCGTGACTTGAAACAGGATGGTCGTGGAGTGGGGTGCTGAAAATGTGCCTCCAATTAAAGTCCACGCTCCCTGGAATCCCCGCTGTGGGAAGCAAAGGAGAAATAGGGAGCTGTTGGAATTTCCGACTACAGAAAAGTAGCCCGTGTCTCTGCTTAATAATGCTCCCTGGCTAGTTTTCTTGCTCTTGTCTGGCTCTTGTTCCCTTAAGAGACACAGAGGCACTGAATGGGAGAAAAAAAAATGTAACTTACTCATGGAATATCTAAAGATACCCTAGCCACCACTCTCTGTAGTTGCAGCTGAAGCTGCCTTTCTATTTCTCCTGTATTAAATAGATGCTGCCAGTTTGTTTGATTCTGGCCAATTATTGTTTAAGGCTTGACATTTGCTAACTATGGTTTCTTGAGGGCTACAGTTGGTTGGGTTCATACAATTCTAAGGCATAAATTATAGTTTATAGACCACAATGGTTTTCATATATTACATTAAGCCACAAGGTGTGACTTAATGTGGGTTGACTTCTGGAGACAATGATGATTCACTCATGGGTTAAGCAGAATGTATGGATCAAACCATTATCTAGTTGGATGCATGAAATGCAGATTTGCATCAACTTTAGCCTAGTCACTATAGAATAATGTCCCCCAACCTTCTCTGAAGAAACATGGAGAACATTTCCCTGCTGATGTAGAAGTAGTTCCCCACCTGTTGTGTCACATGTTGATGGGTATTTTTTTTTCTTTAGTACCTATGATTTTACATAGTTGTGACACTGTTGTTGTTGTTTTTTTTTCAGAAATGAATATCTTATATTTCAAAAGATAATCAAATTGGAATATGAATTCCCAGAGAAGTTCTTTCCCAAGGCAAAAGATCTTGTAGAAAAGCTTCTGGTAAATAAATGTTACTGTCCAAAAAATAAAACCAATGTAAAAAATTTAGCTGATGTGTTCTCCACCTCCCCACCCCCCACCGGTTTGACTTTGATTATCATCAGAGCTTCCTGTCCAGCAAGTCTTTTTTCACACTTTTTAATGTTTTTCCACAAACTTTAATCAAGTCCATAATTCTCAATCTGTAATTGTTTTGTTTTCTTTCAAGCCACTGGGCTTTCTGCCCATTCCTTATTGTTTTTGCAAGCCTGCTTTGGAATATGCTCTAATGATGGCCAGTGTGGAGGTACTCCTCTCCAGCCACAGTGACTCTATACTTGTCCAGAATGTCAGGGCTGCAGTGCTGTCTCCTCTTGAGTAGAGCACATGCCAGCCAATCCAGTTAAAGGCTTTAACAACACAATTGCAGTATATGCTAGATTATAGGTGAGCTGCACCAAGGTGTTTGCAGTGAATTCCAGTCCTCACTCTTTTCTTCTTGCTGATCTGCCTCCCTCCATCTTTGAATTGGCTGTTGCTCCCATTGCTTCAGGGAAGTATTGAACATTCCTCAGTACCTTCTTATACTAGGAAGGAAAATAACTGTTTTCAGAATTCCTGTAACAGCAAAGGCACAGACTAAAGATGGCAAGATAAATGTTTTCAAAATAATAAAAATGTGCCTATCAAGTAGAATCAAAAACTTCTTGGATGGAGAACTCAAATGGAGATTAAATCATAAGAATAAGCAGGCCCTATCTATTGGTTGTTTTTTGGATAGCCATGTTAGATCACTTTCTTATAAAAGATAATTAGAGAAGGAAAATGTAGGATGTAGGATGTAAGAAATGGACAAAGCCAATCTGGCTGGCTGGACTGGAGAATCTTCTATGAAGTGAAGAGGGAGTTACAATAGATAGATTAATCTGTCTTTTTGGAGGAAGGGTACATTGCTACCAAATGTTTTGGCCACAAATTTATTTCCCAGAATCCATTTAAAACTGTTGGGGAAGGAAAGAAACATCTGTTTCTTAGGCAGAGCTATGTTTGGGTAGACAAAGCAACTGCGGTCCTTTCCTGAAATGTTCTGGAATGCTTAAATGTTCATAGATAAGATAGAAAAAAAATAGTCTTTTATAAGGTAGTCCTCAGGTTACAACCACTCGTTCAGTGACCATTCAAACTTGTGATGGCATTGAAAGAGGGGGACTTATGACCAGTCCTTGGAGTTCCAGCCATCACAGCATCCCTGTGATCACGTGATCACGATTTCCGATGTTCCTTGCTGGCTTCCCACAAACAAAGTCAATGGGGAAGTTGGCAGGAAGTCGGAAGTCGCAGTCACTTGAGGTCCTTACTTAATGACCCACATGGTCCTCGCTTAACAATGGCAACCAGAACTGCCATTGCTAAGCAACGCAGTCACATTACATCATGCTTTACGACTGCATTGCTTAGTGACGACAATTCTGATCCCAATTGCCATCATCATCTGAGGACTACATTTTGCATCTAAGGCAATAAATAAATTACAGTACGGTCACAAGAGCATTCTTTTGAGCTTGAGTGCCAAAAAGCAAGGATTTCTTTAAATACATTCGGTACCCATCACTCTTGCTGTGCATGCATATGTTTCTTTTACGGGTTAGGGAGTTTGCATTGCAAATCCTGCCAAGGTTCTTACATTACACATAAAAAATATAATAAATTCACTGCAACTCTCCCATTTCAGTTATCTTTTTATCAGGTCTTTCACCCTTACCACCCATAATGAATCCTAGATTTAGAGGCCACAAGAAGGCTTGTGCTTACTGATTATAAGTTTGAAAAACTTGGTGTCCAGGTAAAAGGAGGAAGTTCTTGAGGGTTCTTGGGGCTCAAAGGCTTGAAGCGAAGTCCTGCACAGCAAGAAATGGGTGCTGTGTTCATTCTGTTGTCTCTGCATGTTAGGGGATAGTACCTTCAAGACTGGAGAAAAGTGCTCACCTTATTGAAAGCCAGTGCTGTGCAGATGGCAACCTGCTGGCTGAAGTCATGATCACTTCTAGGCAACTGCCCTGCCTTTCCACACCAGTCACAATTGTGGCCTTTTATCTGGACTCCAAGCTTTTCAGGCTTTTTATCAGCTCCTTCATTTTTTTTTATGAGGCTTTGAACCTGGCCTTTGTAATACTAGATTTCTTACTACCTCCTGAAGCATAGTGTCAGTCCCACTAGGTAAGCAAGGCCAGGAAATCAACTCCCCAGGAAGGCTAAAACTACTTTTATTGAGATTGTCTATAATAGCAGAATCTTGTAAGTCTGATTGTGCAGAGCCTCCTCTTCCTCCACCTTCTCAAACTCCAGTGGATTAGGGAGGGGTCTAATGTTGTCTGGATGTTCTGGACTTTAAAAATGCTTCAGCCCTTTTGTCTAGGCAACAGCTCCTACGTATCTCTGTCAAAGTCATCCTCCTTGTTCTCTACATCTAGGCATGATTAAATAACAGCTGTTAGGGAGCAGTAGTGAAAGAGGACTCTCATCAGTGCTAGTCATGCTAAACCGAATAGGCCATTGGCAGACAAGGCCTGTTTAAATGCATTGGTCTTCTACATGTTGATATCAGTGAAGGAAACAGCCTAACCAAGAGGCTGTTTGTTTCTCTATGAAAAGAGTAGTGTACAAAGAACACAAATTGCTAGAGCAAAGTTGCAATTTTTATTTATTTTGTAACAGTACAAAATAAGTATCTAGATGTTTCAACCACCATGGTCTTTGGTGGAAAGTAGAGTGTTCTTTGTTACCCATAGACAACTTATTAGAGATAACAACCAAAATTAATCTGTAATGCAAACTCATGTTCAGTGCAGGAATCAACTAACCCCTCCCAGGTGGCCGTCCAGCCTCTATCTGAAAACCTCCCCTGTTCTGTGTAAATTGCTTCACTGTTTAACACTGGAAAATTCCTCCAGATATTCAAGCTGGATCTTTTTTCTTTTAATTTCAACCTGCTGATCCTTGTCCTTGTTTTCAGTAGAGAACAGGTTCACTCCTCTTGCATGTGACAACCTTTTATATATCTGTAGACCTTTATTTATTTATTTTTTTTGCAAGCTAGACATGACTAATTGCCTAACTGCAGAACTGTTCCTCGTAGGCCTTGATTTTCAGTCCTCTTAAATATCCCAGTACATTCCTCTGTTACTTCTCAGTACATGAAAAACAAAGAAGGAATGGTATTCCTTTAGTTAGGAACAGTATAGCAAGAACAGTACTTGGCTCCAAAGCAATCAGTGACCAAGTAATATCAATTACTTTGTAGACAACCCTTTAATGTGACAGTCTTTCAGGTTTACGCTCCGACCCTTGAGGCAGAAGAAAAGATTAATGAGTTTCATGATCAAGTCCAAACTGGAGTTGACAGAACATCCAAGCAAGACTGGAATGCCAAAATTGGAATTGTTAAGGAAGAAAATGTAGTTGTATGGTATAGCTTAGGAAACTGAAATGAGGCAGGAGAACAAATTCTCAATTTCTGCCACTTGTGATTTCTTCATTGCTAATGCTGTCTTCAAACAACTGCAGCAACACCTGTATACATGGACATCACCAGATGGAGTACGTAGAAATCAAATTGACTATATTATTGCTAAAAGGAGATGGAGTTGCTCAGTTATAGCATCAAGGACATGACCAGGGGCTGACCATGGAACTGCTCATGTGCAAGTTCCAAATTAAGCTAAAGAAGAAGAAAACGAACCTGTTTCCAGAGTATGACCTTTACTATATACCCACCATTTTCAAGAAGAACATCAGGAATCGCTTTGAAGCCCTGAACCTCATTGATAGAGAACCAGAGGAACTGTGAAATGAACTAAAAGGAGTTGTGAAAAGAGGCTGTGAAATATGAAAAAAACAAGAAAGCAAACTGGATGTCAGAACAAACTCTGGAAATTGCCAAGAAAGACAAAACACTTAGGAAGGAACTTAACAAAAGAGTTTCAGAGAGCTGTTTGAAAAGACAATAAGCAGTATTTCAACATCTGTAAAGACACTACAAGTGGAAGCAGACATGAAAAACCAAGGAAAGTCTTCCCAAAAGACCTCTGAACTCAGAAGAAAGTTCCAACCTTGAATTGTATGCTGAAGGATGTCAATGGACAAATACTGATTCAAAGAAGGTCAAAAGATGGAAGGAGTATACTGAAATACTGTACAGTAGAGATGTCAGCATCCAAGATACCTTAGAAGAAATTAGATCAGCACTCCAGTTATTACCAAGTTGGACGGCTACAGAAATTGATGGCATATCTGCAGAAATATGGAAAGCAACAGAAGAAGAATCAGTAAAGATTCTAACCAATCTATGCCAGGAACTCTGGAGAAGGATACAGTGGCCAGCAGATTGGAAGAGGTCAATCTATTGTCAATTCCAGTACCAAAGAAAGGAGACTTAATAGGCTGTGCAAATTATCATGTAATATCCTTAATTTCACATGCTAGCAAAATCATGCTTAGGATCATCCAACACAGATTAAAGCTTTTCATGGAGAAGGAGATGCCAGATGTTTAAGCTGGCTTTAGAAAAGGTTGAGGAACATGAGACATTATTGCTGATGCATGCTAGATAATTTAGAAAACAAAAGAAGACCAAAAAGTCAGTATGTACTTCCATTTATTACAGAAAAGCCTTCAGATGTGTCAATCAAGTCAAGCTGTGGAATGTGCTTAGAAAAATGGAACTCCCAGAACATCTTGTTTTAACATGAAACCTATATCAAGATCAGGAAGCTACAGTCCTGAACATAGCAAAACAGGCTGGCTCCAGATTGGCAAAGGAGTGAGAAGGCTGTATACTCTCCCCTTATTTATTCAACTTGTATGTAGAATATATATTAAGGGAAGCTGGATTGGAAGAAGATGAGTGTGGGTTTTAAAACTGGAAGAAGAAACATCAATAACCTGTGCTATGCTGATGACCCTACCTTGATAGTGGAAAATCCAAAGGATCTGCAAGCCCTAGTACAAAAAGTCAAAGAGCG